GGGGGCGGGGGTCAGGGTTGGCACCGGCATGCGCGGCGCACCCGGGGCCAGGGCCGGCCATGCGCCCGGGGCTGGCACCTGCCGCACTCCCGGGGGCGGGGCCAGCCCAGATTGCTCCGTGGGTGCATGTAAAGGGCCCGGCGGGCGCCATGGCGCCCGCGGGCACCGGGTTGGGGACCACGGACCTATACAGTAATGTATACTGTACCATACAGTAGAAGTGCCTGAATTATTTGTTACCAGTTCAGCAATTCTAGCAAATTGTTTGAAGACCAATCCCATTCTCTACAAATGTATCTGTGGACTAGATTTGATGGAGCTGAACAAATCATCAACCCCTTTAGGGAGTTTGCATACTTTTCACTTTGGTCACTGTTTACTCTCTTTGCTGTGTGGCTGGTCACACATGGTATTGTGTCTGCTCCCTGATAGACTGACAAACATTTTGAACAGGAGACATCGTACATGGAGGCTGCCCACAAACTTGTGAATCAGAACCCACAGCTCAGAGCGAAGCAAACTTGGGATATTCGATTCTCTGCCTGTGTGCAGCTGTGTACAACTGTTGATATTATTATGAAACTACTGGTATTTATTGTTCCCAATACTTTTCTGAGAACCCAACGGTCCTGTGTGCAGCTCCTGCAAAGACACAACATCTCTTCTAAGCAAATGCCAACCCCAAGAAGGGACACAAAGCTCCCACCATTTCACAGTGGTAACATGCAGATGTGCCAACGCTCCTAGGATATCATCCTCCTCGCTCCAGGCTGATACAGCCCCCACATTTCCCTCCCACATGCGGAGGCAGCTGGCACATTACTGCAACTACCCACCTTGTCTCGATCCTGAATCTCATCCTTGCAGAACACAAACACACGCCCATCCAGGCTGTGTGCTACTTTGAAAGAGTGGACGTACTCTGCCCAGCCTGCCCGACTGGCACCCTGTGTGATGATCCCTGTCAGCCGCATCTTCCTCAGCAGGTTTGCCTACGGCACAACATACGGTTTCTCAGATGAGCAGGGAGCATGCGACAGAGCCTAACACAGAATAGAGGCTGCACTACACCCTGCTCTCCCAGGCCTTCCATGGAGTATTAGTTTGTGTGACCTGCAGCCCAGCTGGACTCCTGAGAACCAACTCAGCTTTAGCACTGTTGAAAGTGACTGCCCTGTGGTCTGTCCATCTGCGGGCTGTGCCATTGTTTCAGTGCAGAACTCCCTCTCCCCACAACCTAACACCATGATCTAGGCCCCTGGTCAAGGAGGGAAGGATGCCCAGCTGTACCACCAGAGTACACTGGAGGGTATTCCCTGAGTACCACTTCCCAGGAGATGGAGCATCCTGCATCATCAAGAAATGCCAGCTGACCCACAAGGAATGCTGCCCTGAGACACCTCCTTCTATGAGTCATGTTAACATTAGGAGGATGTCTATGTGACATGGCTACTCCAAGGTGGAGATTTCAGCAGGGAATAGTACAGCAGGTTCACATTCCCATTAGGGATGTTAAAAAGTGGGTAATTGTGTAAGCGTTGAAAATCTCAGCTGTTACACGGTTACAAGTGCCTTGCGCTCCTCACAGGATGGGAGGCAGCTTCACGTGCTCACCCGCTCCCAGGCCAATTAGGGCCTGGGGATGGGGGAGCCGTGCAAAACTTCCTTCACCTTGACCCCGCCCTACGCGAGCGTACGGCACTTTAAAGTGATGTGCACTTCTCACAGGGCAGGGGGGTGAGGGGAAGGGCAGAGGAAACTTTGCATTTATCTCCCACCCCCAGGCCAATCAGGGCTCAGGGGTGGGGGAGCATGTGGCGTCTCCTCCCACTCTGCGAGCAGCGCGCGGCGCTTCAAAGGGGTGGGAGGAGACTTCTAGTGCTTCTCCACCCCAAGCCCCTAATTGGCCTGGGGGCGGGGGAGCAGCAGGGCCTCCATGGGCTGGATCAACCCGTTTGCCCTTTTGCCCACCCCTGGTCTAGTGCTTGGGGCTTCAAAAGAAGCCTGTTCTGCAATGACCCACCCAAGAGAAAGTCTGTGTGTTCCAGCCAGCTGGTACCTGAATCCAGGGGCTCTTGTCATAGTTGCTGGAGGTCCAGGCATTTACAATTCCATTGTTGTTGAGTCGGGCCAGCTCGGGACCCCAGCGCTGCAGGCCTAGGAACCCATAGTGCACAGATGAAGCTGACAGCTGGGCATCTGCAATGGCCCTTCCCTCCATGCCCAGCAAAACGGCACAGCCTGGAGCAGAGAAAGGGAATGGGGGCAAGAGAAGGGTGGGAGATGAGGGATGAAAAGAAGGTGGGTAGGTCATCAGTAAAGGGCTGTGTCTACACTGGGCCACTTATTCCGGAAAATCAGCCGCTTTTCCGGAATAAGCTGCGAGCTGTCTACACTGGCCCTTTTCCGGAACAGTGTTCCGGAATAAGGACTTATGCCCGAGCGGGAGCAGAATAGTTTTTCCAGAATAGCGGCTGATTTTGTACAGTAGAGCATCGTTGCTTTTCCGGAAATTCAAGGGCCAGTGTAGACAGCCCAGTAGTCTTTTCCGGAAAAAAGCCCCGATCGCGAAAATGGCGATCGGGGCTCTTTTTCGGAAAAGCGCGTCTACATTGGTGTCAGCCGACGGTCAGGGCAGTGAGTCCCTTATGACCGGCTGAAGTTCTTTAAATTGTGCTTGGTTCTGTTACAGCAACTGAAGGAGTCAGGTTAAAGCTTAAACAGTTACTATTTTATTGTTACAGGGTAAACTTAGTTGTTAAATGCTACTACTGTGTTACAGATAACACAGACACTACAAAGGACAGGACAGAAATTACACTAATAAGTCACTTACAGGTACCATGAAACCCTTTTGGTTCTCTGAGCTCTTATTAAATGCATGCAAAATAGACACATAGTAGGATTAGCCTCCCTAGTTCGAACTAGGGAGGCTAATCCTACTATGTGTCTATTTTGCATGCATTTAATAAGAGCTCAGAGAACCAAAAGGGTTTCATGGTACCTGTAAGTGACTTATTAGTGTAATTTCTGTCCTGTCCTTTGTAGTGTCTGTGTTATCTGTAACACAGTAGTAGCATTTAACAACTAAGTTTACCCTGTAACAATAAAATAGTAACTGTTTAAGCTTTAACCTGACTCCTTCAGTTGCTGTAACAGAACCAAGCACAATTTAAAGAACTTCAGCCGGTCATAAGGGACTCACTGCCCTGACCGTCGGCTGACACCAATGTAGACGCGCTTTTCCGAAAAAGAGCCCCGATCGCCATTTTCGCGATCGGGGCTTTTTTCCGGAAAAGACTACTGGGCTGTCTACACTGGCCCTTTTCCGGAACAGTGTTCCGGAATAAGGACTTATGCCCGAGCGGGAGCAGAATAGTTTTTCCAGAATAGCGGCTGATTTTGTACAGTAGAGCATCGTTGCTTTTCCGGAAATTCAAGGGCCAGTGTAGACAGCTCGCAGCTTATTCCGGAAAAGCGGCTGATTTTCCGGAATAAGTGGCCCAGTGTAGACACAGCCAAGGAAGAACAAGAACAAGAGAGAAAAAGAATGTAACACTCTCACCATCGTATTCCTAAAGTTCTCTGGAGACACCTCTTGTCTCATGGGAATGAAAAGGATACTAGATCAGATCAGGGACCTTCTTTGGCCACTTGGGGCTTTGGTTTGGAGCCTCATTAAGATGAAGAAGATGGCTAGTTCTCCCTGATCCCCAGCCAATCTGGCTTCACCCCAACCCCTTCCCATAGTTGTGCCCTCAACACTTCCCAAACCAAGTTTATTGAGACACAGTTGGTCTACAGTGGTCTTGAACGCTCTCAGAGAAGATGTTCTTTTCACCACCATCATAAGCCTGGACAGCCTGAAGAGGGAATGCTCCTTGTATGAAGCTCTCTTTTCTACTACCCAGCCATCACGGCTGTCCCATCACAGCAACAAGATATATGGAGATTCAAAGAGGGAAAGTCCCCTCTGGGATGGGTTTGTGACCCAGCATCTGGGACCATCCCAGAGTCATGAGGCAAGCAGGAGGTCCTCCATAAGGGACTCAGTGCTCTCTCCGGGATGCCTCCCCAGCACTAATTTCATTCACACTGGGCTCTCCAGAGTCAACGGGCTCATGGATGACTATTGAGCAGCTTCAAAAGTCATCAACCTCAGTTTTTTCCTAACCACAACCCATGAGGCCTCCCTTTGTGCTCGCTGGTACTGCTGAGAGCAGAGAGGGGCATCAGGAAGTGTGTATGTATGTGTGTGCACACGTGTGTGTATAGAGGATGGGGTGTATAAAACCACCTGTCACAATGAAGGACTTACGGACATGGCAGGTCTTCCCCAGGAATGGAGAGGGACATTTGCAAGCATAGTCACCGCTCAGGTCTAGGCAGGTGCCTCCGTTTTTGCATGGCTCTGAGGAGCACTCGTTCACATCTAGGGGAGATAGGAGTGAAGATGAGAGAGAGCCACAGCCCTCCCAGCCTCAAACCCAGCATCACAGGATGGGCAGGGAATCATAAGAAGATAAGAACGGCCATACTGGGTCAGACCAAAGGTCCATCTAGCCCAGTAGCCTGTCTACCGACAGTGGCCAGCACCAGGTGCCCCAGAGAGGGTTGACCGAAGACAATGATCAAGCGATTTGTCTCCTGCCATCCCTCTCCAGCCTCTGATAGAGGCCAAGGACACCATTTTATCCCCTGGCTAATAGCCTTTTATGGACCTAACCTCCATGAAATTATCTAGCTTCTCTTTAAACTCTATTATAGTCCTAGCCTTCACAGCTAGGACTATAATAGAATCCCATCACACACACACAGATTTATCAGCAGGCAGCCGCTCTGGCAAGCCAGGTGAGTGCTTTAATCCAAGAAGCTTTTCAAACTGCTGGGTTGCTTGCAGGAGTAGGGGCTCTAGCTGAGATGCCCAGCTACGCCACTCCTACCAGAGTGGACTGGACTTAGGGGCACAGGTGGTTCTATGCATCTGTGTGAACCTCTGAGGAGGGTCCCCCTGAACACTGCAGATGATGCACAAAGTCTCCTTTTGAGCAGGCAGAGCCCCAGGTGTCATAAAAGCAGAACTGCCACTGGCCAAGCTATGGTTAAGATGCAGAGGCCAGACACACCCCATTGCACTGCCCTTATCCTCAGTATCTTTATAATTTTTTCTAGGTCCCTCAGGGCACTCACTGCTGATCTCTGCATCCCACCTGGAGTCAGCCCCTGCATCCCACTTGGCTCTGCTCCGACACTGTGCCCACCAGGCCCTGCATCCTACCAAGAGTAAGCAATCACATCCACTCCAGTACAACCATCTCTTCCAGCATCTCCCCATATCCCACCCAGCTCTAGTCCCTGCATCTCTCCTGGTGCTGGCCTACTTACCCCAAGTGGCACCAGCTTCCAAACCCCACCTCATGTCTCCCCTCCCACTCTAGCAGCTCTGGGACCCATGATTCAGAGCAGGTCTGACAGCTGGGCTGCTACAGAACAGCTGGCATCACAGAGCCCCTGCCAGTGGACACGAGAGCCAGCAAGTAAGTTCAGAGGCATGTGAGGGGAGAGAGTCACCATGCAAGACTTGCTAGTGCATTCCCTGAGCTTTGGGGAGAGAAACATCCAATGCCTTGGTGGAAACAAACCCAGGGGGTATTTTGCTGGATTAGAAACTTACAGCTCCTCCCCCACAGACCTCATTGGAAACCTACATAAACACAATCCACCCCATGGACACCAGGTCTCCATGCTCCCCTCCCACTTCAGCAGCTCCTCCTGCATTGAGGTCTTTCTGCCCCTTCCCCATCCCCCCCAGAGCCAGTGCTCGCTGCCCCCGCCCTTGGAGAAGCAGCCCACACTCACTCTTTTGGCAGTGGGTGCCTTCATACCCCGCAGGGCACTTGCAGACATACTCGGTAAAGACATCGCCCCGGTTGGGCACCATCTGGCACTTGCCATTGTTGTGGCAGGGATTAGGCTGGCAGGGACCTGGGGAAGGAAACAGAAAAAGCAAACAGTTGTCAAAAGGGAACAGGATAAGGAAAAATCAACCTGGTTCCAGGGGTGAACGGCTCGGGTTCAAGCATGCCCTTTACTGTGACTTGGTGACCCCAAGACATGCTTGGCTCTGATATTACTGCATTTGGCTGTTAGTGCCCCGGAGGTGTGTGTGACTCTGGTACAAGCCTGCACTGGTTGTCATCAGTGTTTGAAACTGGGACCTTCAGCTCCATAACAGAGCGCTCTACCACTCCATTGCCTGGTAGCAGTAGGAAGATGTTATCCTGAAAAAGACCAGTCGCTAGAAAAGGGCATGGCATGTGCTTAGACAGTCTGTCATTTATTTCCCCATGAAAATAAGCTCATTCTAAGACTCTAAGATCTACCTATGTTCATGTCCTTGGGCACCAGTTTTTTAAACAACAGCCTGCACAGGTCATTGACGGGGTGGGAATTTGAAACCAGCTGGGGGAGGAGGTCATGGCATGGGAACTTTGCTATTTACTTGTGCCTGCAAGGCACATGTTGATCTAACAGATCCACACACTTGGCTGGTTTATTGTTGATGCATCACCACAACATGCAGATCACATTCTGGTCTCCAGGGAACAGAACCTCTGGATCTCCCTCCCGCATGGGCTGTACCTGTCTCTGTGTCATTGCAGTCAATCCCAGCGAAGCCTTCGGGGCAGATACAGAAGAAGGGAGTCTCACTGCTACCAGTCAGGCAGGTGCCCCCATTCTGACAGTGGTTCACATCACAGAAGTCACCTGTTACCAAGGCCACAAGTCATTACAAACACTAACTGCCAGGGAACCCACACACAAGCCAGCTACAGACCCAGGTCTTTGACTTAAATCTGATTCTACAGGAAAATTGAAATGCAGATATCCTGCCTTTGCAAAGCTCATCCATGTTCCGTTGGGGGCAGCCCATTCTGAAATGCAGTGGCACAGCGGCCGGGGGTGGGGAGGACAAGGCTGAGTTCACTCAGGGTGCTGGTGCTCCAGGACTAGATGGAGACACACTGGCAGAGCTATGCTCCAGAACTGGAACAGCAGTCAGGACAGACAGGCCACTTGCAGAGCTGGGAGTAGGGAACTTGCCCAGCTCCCAACATCCTTGTGTCCATGGCCCCAACCTGCCTTCTCACTGCAGTTCCCTAGGATTTGCCCAGAGATCAAAGTCACTCATAACTGAACTCCCCCTGGCATTTCCCGCTCTCCTCATGTGCCTTGAATGTCGCTGCCTCCTCCAGCACTGCAGGACAATGCCCTAGGTGAGGTGTGCTAGGAGCAGGAGAGTAGGGGAGGCTTAGGAAAAGGGGAACCATCAGTTCCCCCTGCTCCAGGACTGGGCCTTTGCTTTGATTTCAGCTGCCCTAGCAAACCAACAAGGAGCTCCTGACACCAATTTTCCCAGCATGTTGCCTCACATCTTACCATTTGACAGAGACAGTCTCCCACTTCCCATGCCCCCTCCCCACCACCGACTCCTCCCCATCTTGACCAGCCTACATTGGTTCTTCATTCTGCGCCCCACAGCTATGTCGTCAGGCCATCTATTTTCTATCATGCAGATCTCATTCTTTGGGGACTTTTCCATTATTCAACCGAAATGTGCTTTTCTCCAACTTATTCCTCCTAGTTCACTGGGCTGGGGGGAGGCCATGAAATGATCAGAGGCTCCCTGGGAGGAAGGAGTGAAGAGTATTGATACTCAGAACTAGGGATGTGAACAGTTAGTCGACTATCCAATAAGCAAATGCTCATCGGATAGTCGACACACTAGTCAACTAGTCGCTTCCCCCTCCCCTTGCTGCCTCTATCAGAAAGAGGCAGCAAGAGAGGGGAAAGAGGAGGGGGTGCTTCAAAGCGGCAGTGCCCCTTGGAGCCCAGGGTCAGTTGGGGGACTCTGACCTTGGGGGAGGACGCTGACCTTGGGCTCTATGTAGCCCTGATGCTTTGAAAAGCCACAGGGAGCACAGGGTCAGTGGGGGGACTGGCAGGCTCTGTGCTCCCCACAGCGCTTTTGCCTTTGAAGTGTAGCAACAGCCCTGGGACTGTTGCTACACTTCAAAGGCAGAGGCGCCCTTATCGACTAATCAAATAGTCAATGCAGATTAGCCCATTAATCTAAATTTAACATCTCTGCTCAGAAGCAGCAATGGCCTCCTTGGGGAGTAAATGCAGGAGTGAACATTCCTCCTCCCACCCTCTGGACTTGCATCCCAGCAGTGCAGGGAGCAGAACAGAACGGAGTGAGCTGAAAGGGTGACACATGCACTCATCCCAGTAATCAGATGGGCCAAGCACCTGACCTTCCAGTTAGATAGTTTATATTTGCCAAAGATTGAAAAACCGGCATCTCCTAAGCAACGAATGCTCTGCAAGCCCAGAAGCAAAGTTAAGAGCTAAGGGTACGTCTACACTAGCCCCCTAGTTCGAACTAGGGAGGCTAATGTAGGCATTCTAAATTGCAAATCAAGCCCGGGATTTAAATAACCCCTGCTTGATTTTCATCTTCCCGGCCGGTTGTCATTTTTTGAAATTTACAAGTCCGGACTAACTGCCCGCGTCTACACACGGCAGGGACCTGGTAGTTTGAAATAAAGCCCTACTTTGAACTATCTGTTATTCCTCCTGGAATGAGGTTTATCAGGTAGTTCGAACTAGGGCTTTATTTTGAACTACCAGATCCCTGCCGCGTGTATACACAGGAAGTTAGTCCGGACTTGTAAATTTCAAAAAATGACAACCGGCCGGGAAGATGAAAATCAAGCAGGGGTTATTTAAATCCCGGGCTTGATTTGCAATTTAGAATGCCTACATTAGCCTCCCTAGTTCGAACTAGGGGGCTAGTGTAGACATACACTAAGGGGGTACAATCCCAAGGCCTATCACTGCATGGAGACAGGGCCAGCTGCTGCTCCAAATAACAAGTTAGCACAAGAGGGGTCAGCCTCCCATATGTCTCACACATGCCCCAAGAAAATTCATCTACCCAGAGGGCACTTCCTGACTGTGCCCATTTCCTGGATGCATGGGGAGGCTCCCAGGACCCATCGGGGCATCTGCCCCCCAAGGAGTACCCAGAAGTCTTCCCACCTGCTTCCACATGCTCCCCACCTGTTTCCCACCATCTGGGGTTCTGTGCAGCATACCGGCCTTTGCCCAGGGCCAGCCCTCTGAGGCTACGTCTGCGTCTGTACTGCAGGCTTCTTTCGGAAGAAGCTTTTCTGGAACAGATCTTCCAAAAAAACTTCTTCCGAAAGAGAGCATCCTCACTGCCAAAGCACATCAAAAAAGCTATCTGCTTTTTTGAAAGATAGCATCCACGCTGAATGGACGCTATCCCGCATTTAAGCTGTGATGACTATGGATGGAATGGCCACTAGGGCATGTATGGTTTTTCCTCTTTCCTCTTCTTTCAAAAGAACTCCTTCTTCCCCGTCCACACACACCTTTTTGCAAAAGAGCTCTTTCAGAAAAAGGCTTCTTCCTCATAGAAAGAGGTTTACCCAACATTGGAAAAAACCCTCTCTTCTTTCAATTTTTTTTTTCAAAAGAACGATTGCAGTGTGGAAGTGATGTTTTTTTTTCGGGAAAATGGCAGTTTTTCCAGAAAAAAAACCCAACCCTCTATAGTGTAGACATAGCCTGAGAGATACTCCCCTGGAGATAGATAATCTCCATTTCGAGGGCAGGTGCAGTTCACAAAGTACCAGGCAAGTTCCTCCTACCCCATTCTGTCAGCCAGGGTCTCAGCACTCACATGCTGGGTCTCCCCCTCCCTCCATAGAGGCAAGAGGGGAACCACTCCACAGCCTCTCTGCTGGCCAAGGAGCTAGCTGTGAAAGTGGGTTTGGCTGTGCTGAGCTGATACCCACCCGCTCATTTCACACAGGGACTGCCAAACATCTGGCAACCATTTCTAGGTCCCCTCCATGCTGACTTGGGCAGGATTCAAACAGGTGAACTCCGGGTAAAAGGTTGTACCTCCCATTACCGAGCACTGGGGCCACCTTCCCTCCTGACACAAGGCTTCTCTCTGCCACACCAGCTCATGCTGCAGGTGTAAGAGCTGGGAATTAGTGCAGGTGGAGACCCCCGGGATAGGCTCCCACCCCACTACCTGTGTGGAAGTTAACGAGCTGTGAGCGCACTGCTCCAAGCTGCACTGAACAGCACGTCTCTCATTAGCCTAAGCCACTGCTCAGGGAGTTATAACTAATTAGTCTTTTAATAGCAAGGCTCCTCAGAACTAATCCCACATCCCAAGCCTCCATGTCTGCAGGGTGCGCGCGAGGCAGAGGGACCTGGCTGGTGTGTCAACTAGAGGCTTCAAAAAAGCTGCTGCTGCTCCTTTAGCCCAGCCTGAGAAAGCGGAAGAGCTTGGGCACCAGGTCAAATCGCTGCCTGTGCCGCCCAGCCTGGTTCTGCATGACCTCATCTTCCATCAATGCACTGCCATGAGCAACAGCGGAGGAGGAGGAGAGGAGGGAAAAGAAGGGCCAAGGAGGTGTGGGGAATCTGGGATGTCTCTTCCCATTTCATTAATCAAGGAGGGGGAGATATTTACCTCCCCCTCTCACAAGTCTCCTGGACACTACAAAAATTCAGACACAGGGATCCTTCACACCAGCTGGCAGAGGCTCTATGCACAGTGCTGGGTCTGTTCAAGAAGAGGTGCAGGCTGCTTACAGAGATACATGGGTGATAAGTGTGTGTCCACCAAAGCATCCACTGTGCTAGCTGCCTCCATTCTAGGAGCATCTGGTTCGCACTGGAGGCCAGGACTCAGCAAAACAGGTGTCTGGGCTGGAAAAGCCCCTCAACCACATTCCTCCCCAGGGTGGGGGCAAGATGTTCCCAATAATCTTATGCATATTTTAAATCTTGCAAGTAACTAAGCTTCCTCTTCCCTGTGGGGATGATTCCTCACCCTCTTTCCTGCAGGGCTCACTGGCTACACCCCATTGAGCAGGCACATGATGGGCCAAATTTTCAAAAGCAGCCAGTGAGCTGTGGTGCCTCAATGGCTGGGACAGCTGGGGCCAAATTTTTACAGCTGAGCAGCACCTCCCACTCCTGCTGCCTTGGCTGGAGTTGTGAGCACCCAGCTTGGAAATGTTTGCTAATATGGCCCCAAGAATGGGTAGAGAGGCAAAAGTAAAGTCCTGAGAGGCTCTGGGCTCCATATCCCAGTTCCTCTGGGCTGGAAGGGCAGGGCAGTCCAAGACTCTGCCTTAGGAGAGGAAAATGGATGCCTCTCCCAAGGAAAACTAACAACATAACCTGCATGACCCCCACTGCCCTGGGCCCATGGTCCAGCGAGTTCACCCTGTTTTTTCCCTACTACTCCCACAGTTTCATCCCACATCCTGTTCCTCTGCTCTCCCTGTTTCCACATATTCCACTCTCTCAGCCCCTTACCTAATTCCTATCTGCTATCCTCCAAGTACAGCCTCCTCACCACTGCCCAGCCTCTGGTGGCCAGCCCGGCGCTCAGAACATGCCCATTCCTCCCTTCCCAGTTAAGGGCCATACAAACAAGGAAGGGTGGCTTCTTCTATAAGAGGGGAGTGTTACCTAACAGTTAGAGAAGGGATCTGTCAAAACGCCTGGGCTCTCTTCCCAGCTCTGGCAGAGAAGAAGACTGGGGCATGGGATGTCAGTTAGGACTAATGGGTGGAGTAGCCAATGGCCATAACAGGGAGCCAAACTTCCTAGGGCCTATTCAGAGCCACTCCCACAGTCTCTGCCTTGCGACCTAGTTTCTGTGCGGCC